TCCCTCGCTCATCTAAACACAGGAGAGGGAGCCACAAACAGCAGAACACCAACACCCACAGGGAAAACTTGACAGGCTCCAAAGCCCACAGTGATAGCCAAAATGGTGAAACACAGAAACAGAAGCCAAATGAAAGAGCAAGAGACCTCCACCGAAGATTAGATCAATGTGGGGCAATTAGGCATGTTAACAGAGCTAGAATTCAGAGCCATGATCTTGAGGAAGCTCAACAGCATGAGTAAGGACATAGAGACACTGAAAATAAGCCAATTGGAAATTAAAAACCATCAAGAAGAGATAAAAAATGACATATCAGAAATGAAAAACACATTGGAAGGTTTAAAAAGCAGAGTAGAGGAAGCTGAGGACCGGATCAGTAAATTAGAAGACAGGGTAGAAAAAATCAACCAATCAGAAAAAGTAAAGGAAAAAAATATTGAAAAACAGGAAGACAGCTTAAGAGAACTATGGGACAACTGGAAACGTAATAATATTCACATCATAGGAGTCTCCGAAGAAGAAGAAAATGAGCAAGGGATAGAGAATATATTCAAAAAAATAGTGACAGAAAACTTCCCCAATTTGGTGAAGGAAGAAGGCATTCAAGTTCAAGAAGCACAGAGAGCCCCAAGTAAGAAGAACCCAAACAGACCCACACCAAGACATATAGTAATAAAATGCCACAAATTAAAGACAAAGAGAGAATCCTAAAAGAAGCAAGAGATAAGCAACAGGTTACCTACAAAGAAAACCCCATAAGGCTCTCAGCTGACTTCTCACAAGAAACACTACAGGCCAGAAGGGAATGGCATGAAGTAATCAAAATCATGAAAAACAAGAATCTGAATCCAAGACTACTCTACCCAGCGAGGCTATCATTCAAAATAGAAGGTCAAATAAAGAGCTTCCCAGACAAAAAAAACAAACAAACAAACAAACAAAAAACAAAAGGCTAAGGCAATACATTAGCACCACACCAGCACTGCAAGAAATGTTAAAAGGACTGCTGTAATTGGCAGTAATAATGGGAAGAAAAATAGAACCACACTAAACAAAAATGGCAATCAATAAGTACATATCAATAATCACCTTAAATGTAAATGGATTGAATCCTCTAATAAAAAAAAACACAGAGTAGCTGATTGGTTAAGAAAGCATGACTCATCTATATGTAGTTTAGAAGAGACCCACCTCACAACAAAAGACTCACATAGGTTGAAAGTGAAGGGATGGAAAAAAATTTTCCAAGCAAATGGAAAGCAAAAAAAAGCTGGGGTAGCAATTCTCATATCTGATAAAATAGATTTCAAAATGAAGACCATAACTAGAGACAAAGAAGGCCACTACATAATATTGAAAGAATCTATCCAACAGGAAGATATAACCTTGATAAACATATATGCACCCAATATAGGAGCACCAAAATATATTAAAAATCTTCTGGAGGACTTCCAAGGTGAAATCGACAACAATACAATCATAGCAGGGAACTTCAACACTCCGTTGACAGCACTGGATAGATCCTCTAGGCAAAAAATGAGCAAGAAAACAGAGACTCTAAATGAAGCACTAGACCAAATGGATTTAAGAGATATCTACGGAGAATTACACCCCAAAACTACAGAATACACATTCTTCTCAAGTGCACATGGGACATTCTCAAACATAGACCACATGATAGGACACAAACTAAATCTCTATGAGTTCAAGAAGATGGAAATCATATCAAGCATCTTCTCAGATCACAATGGCATGAAACTAGAAATCAATTGCAACAAGAACATGCAAAGACATTTCAACACATGGAGGCTAAATAGCATGTTATTAAACAATGAATGGGTCACCGAGGAGATCAAGGAAGAAACTAAAAACTTCCTGGAAACCAATGAAAATGAACACACAACAACACAAAATCTATGGGATGCAGCGAAAGCAGTTCTGAGAGGGAAGTTCATAGCACTACAGGCCTACCTCAAGAAACAAGAAAAATTTCTAATTGACTGTCTAACCTCACAAATAAAAGAATTAGAGAGCAAACAAAAAGAGAATCCCAGAGCAAGTAGAAGGAAGGAAATAGTAAAGATCAGAGTAAAAATAAATGACACAGAGACCAAAAAATCAATTCAAAGGATTAATGAAACAAAGAGCTGGTTTTTCGAAAAGATAAACAAGATTGATGGACTCTTAGCTAGACTCACCAAGAAACAAAGAGAGAGAACCCAAATACACAAAATCAGAAATGAAAGAGGAGAAGTAACAACCAACACCACGGAAATACAAAAGAATTGAAGAGGCAATCAAGACTCTCCCAGCAAACTAAAGCCCAGACCCAGATGGCTTCATGGGGGAGTTTTGCCAAACATTCAAAAAAGAACTAACACCCATTCTCCTCAAACTATTTCAAAAAATTCAAGAAGAAGGAAGACTTCCAAACACGTTCTATGAGGCCAGCATAATTCTAATTCCAAAACCAGAAAAAGACACTATGAAGAAAGAAAACTGCAGGCCAATATCCCTGATGAACATAGATGCCAAAATCCTGAACAAAATATTAGCAAATCGGATCCAGAAATTCATCAAAAAAATTATTCACCATGACCAAGTGGGATGCATTCCAGGGATGCAAGGCTGGTACAATATTCACAAATCAATAAATGTGATACACCACATAAACAAAATGAAAAATAAAAACCACATGATCATATCAAAAGATGCTGAAAAAGCATTTGACAAAATCCAGCATCCATTTCTGATAAAAACTCTCAGGGAATAGAGGGGTCATATCTCGACATAATAAAGGCCATATATGAAAGACCTACAGCCAACATCATACACAATGGACAGAAACTAAAACATTTCCATTAAGAACAGGAACAAGACAGGGATGTCCACTTTCGCCATTCTTATTTAACATTGTACTGGAAGTCTTAGCCACAGCAATCAGACATGAAGAAAAAATAAAAGGGATCCAAATTGGAAAGGAGGAAGTGAAACTGACATTATTTGCAGATGACATGATATTATACAAAGAAAACCCTAAAGACTCCATCAAAAAATTACTGGACTTAATAAATGAATTTGGCAAAGTAGCAGAATACAAAATTAACGTCAAGAAATCGACGGCATTCTTGTACACCAATGATGGACTCACAGAAAGAGAAACTGAAAAAACAATCCCATTTACCATCGCGCCAAAAAAATTAAAATACCTAGGAATAAACTTAACCAAAGAAGTAAAGGACCTATTTGCAGAAAACTACAGGTCATTGAAAAAAGAAATAGAGGAAGATATAAAAAAGTGGAAGCACATACCCTGTTCATGGATTGGAAGAATTAACATCATTAAAATGTCCGTACTGCCCAAAGCAATCTATAGATTCAATGCAATCCCCATCAAAATACCAACGACATATTTCATAGAACTAGAACAAATACTTCAAAAGTTCATATGGAACCAAAAAAGACCCCGAATAGCCACAGCAATCTTGAAAAAGAAGAACAAAGTAGGTGGGATCACAATACCAGATATCAGGTTATACTACAATGCGACTGTAACCAAAACAGCCTGGTACTGGCACAAGAACAGGCATATAGACCAGTGGAACAGAACTGAAAACCCAGAAATGGACCCAAGGCCATATGCTCAATTAATATTTGACAAAGGTGGCAAGAGCATACAGTGGAGTAAAGACAGCCTCTTTAATAAATGGTGTTGGGAAAATTGGACAGCTACATGCAAAAAAATGAAAATAGACCATCAACTTACACCATACACAAAAATAAACTCAAAATGGATAAAAGACTTAAATGTGACCCATGAATCCATAACAATTCTAGAAGAAAATGTAGGCAACAAAATTTCGGACATCATACGGAGCAGAATTTTCACTGATACATCACCTAAGGCAACAGAAACAAAGGAAAATATGAACACATGGGACTACATCAAACTAAAAAGCTTCTGCACAGCAAAACAAACAACCATCAAAATGGAAAGGCAACCCACTGTATGGGAGAACATCATTGCCAATAATGTATCAGATAAGGGGTTAATCTTCAATATATATAGAGTGCTCATACAACTCAACAAAAGGAAGACAAAGAACCCAATTAAAAAATGGGCAGAGGAGCTGAATAGACACCTCTCCAAACAGGACATACAAATGGCCAAGAGACATATGAAGAAATGCTCAACATCACTTATCATCAGAGAGATGCAAATTAAAACAACAATAAGGTATCACCTCACACCTGTCAGAATGGCCACCATCAACAAATCATCAAACAAGTGTTGGCAAGGGTGTGGAGAAAAGGGGACTCTAATACACTGCTGGTGGGAATGCAGACTGGTGCAGCCGCTGTGGAAAACAATATGGTGTTACCTCAAAAAATTAAAAATTGAACTTCCATTTGACCCAGTGATCCCACTGCTGGGAATATACCCTAAGAAGCCTGAAACACCAATCAGGAAGAATATATGTACCCCCATGTTCATAGCAGCACTATTTACAATAGCTAAGATCTGGAAACAGCCCAAGTGTCCATCAGTAGACAAATGGATAAAAAGAAGTGGTACATATACACAATGGAGTACTATGCAGCGGTAAGAAAGAAAGATCTCTTATCCTTTGAGACGACATGGAGGAACCTGGAAAGTATTATCCTAAGTGAAAGAAGCCAAGCAGAAAAAGACAAATACCACATGATCTCACGTATATATGGAATATAATTAACATAACAGTCTGAGGAATACAGTAGACCTAGAAACATGGAAGTAGGGCACAGACTGACATCCCTCAGAAAAGGGGGTGGGGGTAGGAAGAGATAAACCACAGAACTTATATGCATGTATGCATTACCAATGGACATGGACAACTAAGCCAGGGACGGGGCGGGGGTGGGGTGGGGAGGGGTTGCTAATGGGGTAAAAAAGGTAAAATATCTGTAAAAAAAAAAATAAATAAAAAATTAAAAAAAAAAAAAGAAGTGAAAGTGGTTTTGCCCTCAGGTTCCCTTTCCCATCAGATCTGAACATCGGTCTTGGTGGTCCTAAAAGGAAGAAAAGTAATACTAGATTCATGGTGCTTATAATCTGTTCTACAGCATGTGGGGTAGTTTCAAACCAAGTGAAAGAGGAAAAAAAAAGTAAGAAGAAGAAAAAAAAAGTGGAAGTGGTTTTATCTACTTTTCCATGTTACACTTCAATGCCCTCTCTGGGCACATCACCCTCCCAGCAACTCCATGTGTTAAACTGGGAAGCTGTCCAAAACCTTTTGGTTAGGGTTTTGTCTTGTTTTTATTTTTTTGAAGGCTTCATTACAAGGATACCATTGATTAGATCATTGGTCACAGGTGATTAATTCAACCTCCATTAGGTCAAGACTGAGGCTGAAAGTTGCAATCCTCTAATCAATTAATCAGATCCTCTGGTGATCTGCTCTCCCTTTTCCTTAGGGACTTTGAATAACAAAAGACATGCTTTTAAAGGGTTTCAATCTGGAGCTATTTCAAAAGCTAGGAACAAATACCAAATATTACAAAAGATGTTCCTTTCACATTTATCACTCCAGAGCTATTTCAGGATCTGGGATGAATACCAACATACATATTTTTTATATCACAAAAATCACCTTAGGTTTTGTCTGTAAAGAGCATCAAAAACATTGCAGGAAGAACAAAGATTTTGCATCTTGATTCTGGTATGCTGGTTTGGCTGCTCCTTGCAGCACCTGCTTCTCCATCTTTTCCAGGTCTGGTTCCTGCCATGGGGTTTATCTCCAGCCTCAAACCTTTACAGTACCCACCGCTTCTCCTGTGCCTGTAATGGGCAGCGGCTTCCCCAGAAAACCCAATTCCCTACCCCAGCCTGGGGCAGTTTTATAACTGAGTACCTCTGGTGAGATACCTCCCTGTGAACACCCTCGAGGATAAACTTCTAGCAAGTTCTGCGGTTGACTCCTCTATATAAGAGGCCACATCCATACTCTCCAACAATGTCTAGATTTAAGGCACTAGGGTGGGAATGGGGCTCTTCCTTGGGCCCTTTATCAAAGAGCAGAAGGTCTTTGAGTACTCCATCTTGGCCCTAGAAGTAGTGATTATATATTACATTATTCTATTAATATATCAAGTATTCCTATATTAAGAATTCTCTTTACTTCTAAGTAATCCCTCATTATTCCTATCCATGTTAAATTCTTTATATCAAACCTTCCCTGTTCTAAGTATTGTGTGGTTTCTCTCTCCTGATTGGACCCAAATACTCAACTGACCTGGAGATAGACCTTGGAAAATAGCAACTGGAGACAGACCCACAAAAATAGGATTTGGGGATTGGTTTGTTCATGCCTTTGGATTTGAACTCAGTGATTCTTGCAAATGGGAAAAGGGATGCTCGTAATCCAGGGCTTGCAGGGGCATCACAATGAATCAAGACGTGCCAACTAAAGCACCCACTTTGGGAGCCCAAGTGGCTGCTGCACTTAACCATTGTACAGTAATGTACAGTAATGTACAATGGTGCACAGTAATGATGGCCATGAAAACTGGTGTTGGGTAGATTCTTTTAGTTCACTTGAGTGCTTACAAAGAAGACAATTACAAACGCAAGTCCGTTAACTCTCAGCTCATCAGTCTGTAGCTGAAGGCCGGATATTCCTGAAAATCAACTGTACAGGGTGATGAATTATGAGTTGAATTTGGTGTCATCAAGTTTCTCATGTGAAGGGGTGTTTATAAGGAATGGACTCTGAAACTTGGAATGCACACATCTGTTTAGATCCAGATGAAACTGATAATCTTAAATCTTCAACTCATTCTGAATCTCCCTTACCAGTAGAATCATCTTGCCCTGTAGTGTCTAGAAATAAGCCTTCTGCTGCTTAAAAGTCTTGTGATAACCTCACCTGGGGCACCACAACCACCTGAAAATGCCACTAAACCCACAACTAGGATAAAATCTCAGCATACTCCATTCAGGCAGCCAGTTAATATACAACCCAGGAAGAAATAGCTTATATACCAAACTGACAGTAATGGGTCAATGATGGAAGATGCACATTGTCGAATACTATGCTATAAATAGAATGAACTAGATGTAGATTTTGCAACATGAGTAGATCTTCAGAACATGGTGATGAGAAGTCAGAAGAAACAATATATAACAATAGCATACCATTTAAGTAAGTTAAAAAAAAAAAAAACATTCATATAAGGTATCGATATGCAATCAATAAAAACACACAAACAAAAGGAAATACATTAAATGAATTAGAATGATAATCACTGGGGGGTGAGGGCAGCGGAATAGGAATAGGAAGTAAAAACAAAATGAGAAGGGCCCTGTGTTGACTAATTACAATAATGTACCCCCCAAAAATAATAATAATAATGAGGAATATGACTCAGGAAATAAGAAACAACCTTGGCTTGCAGTAGGGACCTTCAGTCCTTTATAAGATGTTGATCTAACATAAGGTGCTGCTTCCCTCCCCAATTCCAGCCCTAAATATGATTCACAAAAGAAAAATTGACAGATGATGATGAAATCTACTATTTACTGTGTGCCAGGCACTATTAACTCAGTTAATCTTCCCAGTCAATGCTATTAGATATTTACATCCCCATTTTACAGATGAGAAAAGTATAGAGTTTAAGTATCTTGCCTAAGGTTACACAGCTGGTAATGCTGGAGCTGAAATTTTAATGCAGTCTCTGACACCTATAGAGATGAGTTTGGGACAGGGATGAAGGCCAGGGGAGAGTGTTTTAAAACGGTAGAGGGGCAGGCAGGTTTACAGAGATGCGAGGAGAAATTCCTAATTGTGTCCCTTCCCCCCTCCCCCAATATTGCTGAGGTCATGCTCCAGCTCATCACCGTGACAAGACAGTGAACAGTAGTTCCCAGTAAGGAGGAGCTGTTAGAGGGGGGAGCATTTTACATCTGCAGGTACACAGGTTTTGTGGTCTCTGACAACAAACCTCAAGGCATTGGAATCAGAGATTTCCTCCCCCCTCTAAAAAACCCCACAGTTAAACTCAAAGTCAAAAAGCCCTCAGAGTTTACATTTTAATCCCCTACTCTTTATAATCACAAGCACGAAACCAAAAATTTCCATTCATTTTAGTAAAGCCTCTAACATGGAAGATGGAGTATGAAATAGAAAAAATAAAACAGCAATTACCTCAAGGGGGTAAAAATACTCTGCAGGAAGAAAACTTTCTAAAAATTAGTATCTTTACATAACTTACTATAAAGCTAGTTATCAAGATAAAGGTAGACATATTAAGAAAAAGAACAGTAATATACCTAGGTATATATGGTTCCTACAAAGATACTGAGGTCATTCAATGGAAGAGTAGTCTTTTCAACATTAAATGTTAAAATAAAAGGATATCAATTGTTTTTCAAATATATTTTTATTGATTATTTTAGATAGAGAAGAAGGAAGAGAGAGATAGAAACATAGATGTGAGAGAGAAACATTGATTGGTTGCCTCCTGCATGCCCCCTACTGGTGATTAAGCCCGCAACCTGGGCATATACCCTGACCAGGAATCGAACAAGGACTTCTCAGTCCATGGGAAGATGCTCAATCCACTGAGCCACACTGGCCAGGCTGGATATCTATGTTTTTAAAAATGTTTCAAATCCTACCTCACCATAAAAAAATAATTAACAATGAATTCTAGACCTAACAAAGTTTTTAAAAAATCAAATTTTTGTGTGTGTGTGTTAATCCTCACCTGAGGATATTTTCCATTGATCTTTAGAGAGGGAGGGAGGGAGGGAGAGGGAGAGGGAAAAGGAGAGAGAGACCAAGAGAGACAGAGAAACATGGATGTGAGATAGACACACTGATTGGTTGCCTACCGCACTCATGCACCCCAATGGGGGCCTGGGATCAAACCTGCAACCCACATATGTGCTTTTGACCGGGAATCATACTTGCGACCCTTTGGTGCACAGGCTGACACTCTAACCACTGAACCACATCAGCTAAAGCAGATTTTTCTTAATCCCTTTACACTTTTTCAGCCAGCTTCTCAATCCTCCTCCCCTATGACAGCTGTCAGTCTGTTCTATGTAGCTATGCTTTCTATTTTTGTTATTTTGTTCATGAGATTACACATATAAGTGAGATCACATGGTATTTGTCCTTCTCTGACTGGTTTATTTCGCTTAGCATAATACTTTCCAGGTCCATCCATACTGTCACAAAAGGTAACATTTTTTGTCTTAGTTGACTAGTATTTCATTGTGTAAATGTACCACAGCTTTTTTATCCACTTATCTACTGATGAACACTTGTGCTGTTTCCAGATCTTGGCTATTGTAAGTAATGCAGCAACAAACATAGGGGTGCATATATCTTGAATTAGTGTTTCATGTTTTTGTTTTTTTTGTTTTTATATTCCCAGAAGTGGGATCACTGGGTCAAAAAGTAGTTCTATTTTTAATTTTTTGAGGAAACACCATACTGTTTTCCAGTGGCTGCACCAGTCTGCATTCCCTCCAAAAGTATGTTAAGGGTTCCCTTTTCTCCACATTCTCGCTATCACTTGATTTATTGATGATAGCAATTCTAATAGGTGTGAGGTGTTATCTCATTGTGGCTTTCATTTGCATCTCTCTAATGATTAGTGACGTTGAGCATCTATTCATGTCTATTAGCCATCTGAATGGCCTCTTTGGAGAAGTTTCTGTTCATGTACTTTGCCGTATTTTTAACTGGGCTGTCTTCTTAGTGTTTAAGTTCATTATATATTTTAAATTAACCCCTTATCAGAGGTATCACTGGCAAATATGTTCTTCCATGCAGTGGGTTGCCTTTTCATTTTGGTTTCTTTTGCTGTGCAGCTTTTTAGTTTGATGTAGTCCCACTTGTTTATTTTTTCCTGTTTCCCTTGCTTGAGATGTATCACCAAACATTGCTACAAGAAATGTCTAAAATTTTACTGCCTGTTTTCTTCTAGGAATTTCATGAGTTTGTGACTTACATTTAAATCTTTTATCTATTTTGAGTTTATTCTTGTGTTAAATTGGTGGCCATCTCATTTTCTTGTACCTGTCAATTTCCCCAACACCATTTTGAAGAGCCTTGTTTTTACTCCATTGTATGCTCTTG